TTCTTAAGCAATACTATGTAAGTATATTTTGATTTTTCGTATTTTTTTAAGTATAATAACAACAGTATTGAGTCTTTTGTTTTTTTTAAAGATTTAAAAATTAAAAATTGTTTATTATTTGTTTGGTATGACAACTTCCTGTCAATCAACAACACTTCTAAAAGGGGGAACGATTAAGATCCGTGTGATGTATGATGTATTAATATATTAACCAAATTTATAACAATAATTAATGTGGCATGACTACAATGCGAATCATCTAAAGACATCAAGTGCTGCGCTACTCTCCGAAAAAAAAAATTTCAAATATATACAAATTTGTAAACGATCTGCGATTTGGCCATCGGTAAATTGCAGTTTAGATGGTTGCCGAAATTTCAAATAGCAGGTAATAATAGTAAAAGTTATCCAACTTTAAACCTTTATTTTTTTTTACTAAACAACTCAAAAAAAAAAACTTTCTATTACTTTTCATGTATAGAAGATTGCAAAAATAGAGGGGTTTTTGGCAAAATAGTACATATTTAGTAAAGTATCAGCATTTAAAGATTTGGGATGTATTTAGTTATTAGATGATTGCCACTATACCAGTGCGAAATATGTGATCAAAAATATCGGGGAATGCCCGGTTTGGGATAATTTTTCAAAAAATATCGACCAAAAAATTTTCTTAAATAATAATGATAATTAGGGTTTCGTTTCGAATAAAATAATCCAATTAATCTTGTTGTATATAGTGATAATACTATAGATCGAAATCTCGGGCGAAGTTTGCTATAGAAAATCATAGAATATTATCTAAATAGTATTATATTTTATAACCCTATTAAAATCAACAACACAAATGATCACTAGTTTAGATGTTGGATTGGATTACAAAATCGTGCAGTGTATGCACTGAAATTGGAGACGCGTTAGCTAGTACCCCAAAAACCCGAACAGAAAAATCGAAACTAAACCATTAAGAGCTTTAATATTAGCTTTAGCTGAAGGTGCAGAAATGCTCGACGAGTTTCTTGAAATGTTTGGTAACAATTATACTTTTGTAATGAAGGAAATGCGCTTTTCATTCCAGATTTCATTTCATTCTGATAATTATACGTTAAGAATAACTCCATATAATTAAAACCATTAGAAATGACTCTTTGATTCAAATGTCATAATTGGTTGGAATAAGGCAAAAAAGCGCATTGGAACATTCTAGATAAATTTGAGCTATTTATTGGTGAAAGTCTAGATGCATATTTTCCGGGATTAAAAACGACATATTCGTATTAGTAATTCCTCGATTCACAGTGTCACAAATCAGGTAATAAATTCAAAAAATAAAAAATAAAAAGCATATTTTCAATTTCTTCAATTCCAAAAAATGGATCACCAATTTGATTTATATAGTGTCGAGGTACTAAGGAAAACAGTTCTATTTACGTGTTTATATATTTTATAAAAATAAAAAAAAACTTTTTTTGTAAATATAAACACAGGAAGAAGGGGATGAACACCAAGATCCAACTTACATTGAGACAGATTCCGACGAGGTACTACCTAAAAAATAGTAACTTATATTCTATTCATGTTGGTTCATAATTTATTTATTATCATTTGTAACTTTTTTATTTAAATTAAAAATTTTTTTCAAACAATCAAGGCGAACCTTTAAAAGAAATCGATAATCACCCATCTATAAGGAAAACCTTGGGTTCAAAAATTAATGAAAAAATAAATAATGATGTTTTAAAGAAACCTTTCAAACTTCCAACCAAAAAAAAGTCGGGTAGTGATGAGTTATTTATTGAAGAAAATTTAAATGATGATGATTCTATGCCAAATATCATCATAAAAGGTGATAATAAATGTCAATATAAATTATAACAATGCTTTGTAATAATGCATTTATATATTCATCGATGCTGTATTGTATATTTTATAAATAAATGGCGATTCTATTTGACATTATGTGTGTAAATTCATGTGCAACGTACTAATTTTAATACACAATAGATTAAATAAATATTCTAAATACTCATTCCCAATATTCCTCTTCCAATATATTAAATAAATTATTTTATGATTATGTATAAATTCATTATAACGCATACATACAGAAAAATCGGAATTTTTTATTTTTTGAATTTTATTCTATTACTATGTACACGAAAATCCTGATTGGTGACACATAGTGAAACGGGGATTATGTTTATAATACCACATATAATTTAAAATTGGGCTAAAAAAATGTTTTTATGCAAAAACAGTAAATTTCTCGGCGTTGTATAATTGTTATTTTTACTATTATATGATCATATAATTTAAAATTGGGCTAAAAAAATGTTTCTATAAAAACAGTAAATTTCTCGACGTTGTATAATTGTTATTTTACTATTATATGATTATCTATTTACTCGTTTAAATGCGAACAAGTAATCACCAATTGTTATATTCAGTATCAGGCGTGTCCCTTAAATGTTTATGAAGGTCCAGAAAATACATAATTAAGAGTTGGTATATATATTATATAAATCTGTGTGACATACAAACTTTGAGAATCCCCAAACACGTATTTTTTGACTTTCCTAACGAATTCCAGAATTGAAGAAAAAATTATGGTTATTATTATTATTATAGGCAAATTTGTCCGCATTTCCGTTTAAGAGATAACATCAACCAGATTCATAACTCTGGCCTGAGTTTGATTAACAGTGACCTTTTACTTCATTATATGTAAAGCTTACAAGAACCAACTTTGTAATATAAAATTGATGAAATAATTAATTTAATAGAAACATAAATCTCAGATTTTTCATTTAGTGATTTATGTGAAGAAGGAAAAGGAATTTCTGCCACCACTATAAAAAGCCTCTACCAATGTAGAAATATTTTTTTTTTCTTTAATTCAAATTCTTATTATTAAACGATAAACTGATTGTATCACATGATTATAATATAAAGTTGCAAAAAAATAAGTTTGTTATTTCTGCCAGTAATTACATAGGACCTACCTGATAAAAAAGAGAATAAAGAGGCGGTGAAGAGGATGATGATATTAATATAGAAGGCGAGGAAGAAAATATCTAACCATCAAATTTTTCGTGAAACCATATGCTATAATATTAATTGATAAAAAAATTTTAAAAATCCTATTAAAACTTTTCGTGAATATGCACGCTCATTATTATTATAATAGTAACTATTATTGTTGTTGTTGTTGTTGTTACTTTAGTCGTAAAAGAAAATGAAAAATTAGTATTAGTATTATTTCTATGACAAAATGTTTGTCAATAATTAATGTTTGTTTGTTGTACAAACATTTTAATTTGAAATTTAGATAATAATAACAACAACACTAACAAATAATTTTCAATTTCAGCATGTCAATTTTTAACCCTGTTCTTAAATTTTGGGGATTGTTTTGTTTATTTTTCTATAGTAATAGCTTTTCTCTCATTTGCTTCTCTTTTCTCTTAGTAAAAGATGAACCGGTCTGATATATTTTTATTTCTTTTGATCGTTGATCTTTAATTCATCATCATCAATATTTTTTTAAATCCTTCCTTTCTTTTGGTTCCGAGTTTTGTTTAATTGTCCGTTTTCTTTTCCCCTTCGTCGAAAAGAACTGTATAATTGGTAATTGGTAATTTGGTACTTGAATTTTTCAATTTTTCAATTATCGAACCATTTCCATCTATCAATGAATAATCATAATAATCTAAATAATAAGGTTAATTTCAGCTGAAAGAAGTTACAACACAATAAATGGACAAATAAAAATTTTGCTACTAAAACGGACAATATTAAGGACGGTTTGATTCATTTTGGAATTGGAAATTTGGGAGATCCTTTTCAATAAAGATTTTTAAAAATAGCCCCTTTCTGTTGAAAAGACCCTCACATGTAAAAAATATTAATTTGTTTATATTTATTTTTCAACATTTTTCACACGAAAATTTTCTTTTCCTATCATTTAATGGACGATTGATTATCTTGCATCAAATAATTTAATCTTATATGATTTTTATGCATGACATATTTGTTTATAGTGTATATTGTGATCCTAAGTGTGATCAATGATACCCATTATAATATTTATTTCTAATAGTTTTATTTTCACAAAATTTTTGTATTTTATTACAACAATTGAAAAAAAAATCGCTATTTACATTATTGTTACATATTTTCGTATTTTGGAATCACCAAAATATATGCCAAGAAGACTTTTTTTTAGCATGATCATAATTGTTACAAAATTATCATATTATTATTATTATTATTATTACTAAATATTAATTAATTACTATTACCTAATGTTTATATACATTCTTAAACCGAACCAATTGACTTATTTGTGACCTTTTATTATTAGATTTTGATTATTGTTGAAATCATATAAATTGACGTTGTAATTTTTTTAGTCTTTTTTTTTAAATTTATAAAATTCGCGTCTAATAATAAAAAAAAAATATAACCATAAATACAAATCAATTAAACAAATTTCATACTTTTTATAATCTTTAAAAAAATATAATAAATAATAACATAATTTTTATCAAATGGGTCAACAACATTCCTCAGGGAAATCACTTTTAACAATTACTCCTTACGCACACTCTCATAATCATCCTTTTCATTATAATAATAACCAAAATCAATATCTTAATAATAACAACAATGAAGAAGATATCACATCCAAATTTCATGAAGTTGTCCCTGACACTTATGAGAAAATAAAAAGATCATCTAAATATAAATTACCTTCAGACGATGAAATAATGGGCAGGATACAATTAAGACATTTGCTGTTTAGATATGTTTGGCAAAGTAATTTTTCCTCGCCAATTGATGAAAAATTAAGGAATGGTGCCAAAGTACTTGATATTGGGTAAATATAATAGCACATGAGAATGTATAATTATACGTATATATATATATATATATCACGTATATTAATTGAAATGTATTATTATTATTATATTAGTTGTGGTAGTGGATCTTGGGTGTTAGACATGGCATCAAATTATCCAAATAGCGAATTCATTGGCATCGATATGGCTCCAATGTTTCCAAATAGTTCTCCATCAAACGTGGAATTTTCAGTGATAGACATTAATAAAGGATTGCCATATGAAGACAGCACTTTTGATTTTGTACATTTAAGATTTCTAGTACAATATTTAACTGAAAACGAATGGCAAGATAAAGTAATCAAAGAATTATTAAGGGTCACAAAAAAAGATTGTTGGATTGAAATCATGGTAAATTATCTTCATTTTTATAATTTGATAATTTTTGATTATTCTATTACTTTTTTTCTAATTCAATTCAAATTTATTCATTTGTAGGAATTGGATTTAATATTTAATAATGCTGGTATTCAAACTAACAAATTACAAGATGCAAGTAAGTACTAAAAAATTTTGCAATAATAATAATAAAACATAAAGCGAATTTAAAATTAACTTATTTTTATTTACTTTCTTTCAAAAAATTTAGCAATTTCATATTTTAATTCTCAAAATATCAATTCAGTAATTTCACATCAATTATCAACTTTCTTAAATTCAACTTCTGCATTCAATGTAATCAACTATGAAGAACGTTATACTCCTTTAGGCAAATGGGGTGGTAGATTAGGTAGCTTTTCATTGGTATATTTCTATCTTGCCTATCAAAATATGAAAAAGGTTTTACCACAACATATGAAAATATCAGATATTGAATATGATCATTTAGTTGAAGGGTTCCATAGTGAATGCGAACAAAACAAAATTCATATTAAAACCTTTAGATATTGGGGGCAAAAAAAATAGAATAAATATTTATTACTATTATTATTATTATAAAATAGATAGACTTTTAATATTAATATTATTTATATTAGGTGTATATATAATTAATAATTTACATAAACAACATAATAAATAAATAAATTTTCCATTCTTTTCTTTCATCAATAAACATCTTTGAAATCACCCATTTTGAAATCCTTTTTCTTTCTTTCTGATTTAGGCCATCGAAACAAAGAAGAATTTTTTTTACAAGCTTCCCATGATTCTTTGAATTTACCATCAAATACTCTTTTATTATTTTCAAGCAGATTCTTCTTATCGTTTCTGATAGTTAAACTTTTTAAACCGTGATGATCTCTCTCTAGAATCTCGAAAAATTCTGGTCCAATCTCCCTACTATCATATATCAACAACTCCTTCCAACTACAAACTCCTGGTGGCCTAACAACCAAATTTATCCATCCTTGTTTGCTCACCTCGTTCAATCGATTCTCAATTGAAAATTTTTCTAGCTGACTCATTGACGCAATTAACAATAAACATTTGTCTGTTATTTTCGGCGTTTTGAATAATTTTAACTTTATCACTTTTTTTGATTTTACAATATTTTTCAAAACCAATTCATCCAACTCATCAAATGTTCCTATCTCCAAGGATTCTAAGTTTGGAAATAACTTCAAAAATTCAAAATTGCTCCGACTTTTGATACACTCAATCGATAAATCTTTCAAGCTTATCATTTCATTATCATTTTCTTCATCGTTCCTACTTAAGAAATCAAGATCTTCTCCTTTCAACTCGTACGATAAATGAACAGATGTTAAAGACTTAAATCGAGGTAAAATCAATATCGATCTACCATGTGCTGGTATATCAAGCGCATTCAATTTTGGACATCCCGTTGATAACGTATTAACTGCCGATTCATTAATCGGTAAGCGTTCCGTGGCAAAATCAAAATTTCTAAGATTTTTACAATACTTTCCAAAATATTCTACTATTATTGATGGATCTTTGATATTGGATTCTAATAACAATTGATCAGTGCTTATTATTCTGACCGAAAGTAATGATTCTTTGGAGTTATATGCAACTCTATTTGATAATTTTAAAAATTTTTTTTTGTTAAATTAATTTTAATTTGCTTTAATGTATCCAATCAAATATCAATCATCAAAATATCAATAACAATTTTAATATTAATTACCTTTTCCAAACATTTCGGGCCAATTTTGGATTATACAATCTAATACTATTGATTTTTCCACATTTCATTGCTCCACATAATCCATCATCATCATCTTGCATTTTGTCATCATCATCATCATCATCATCATCATCCCCTTCTTCTAGATCATCAGCATCTTTATCTTCCATATCAAGATGATCGTTCACATGCTTATAACAATTAAGGTTCAAACGAATCAATCTATCACCAAGTAAATGTAGTGGCAATTCATATTTTTTTCTTTGTTTATTAGACAATCCCAAAGAAACTTCTTTTAAATTTACACATTTTTCTGCTATAAATTCAATCAACCCTATATCAATGCATATTCTTGATTCAAACTCCAATTCTTCAATTACCAATTTATCTATAAAACTAGAATATGGAAATAATGACTTTTTATTACTACTTCCACCGTCACTACTATTATTATTATATGAAATATTTCCCTGTTGTTGTTGTTCTTGTGATTGATTTTGAAGTATACTAATAAATTTGGATAATGAATTTTTTTCTGTAAATTTACGTTCTTTCCACAATAATGGGACTGTTAATGATGCTAAATTATGGCATGTCATTAATAGATTCATAATATCAGATATATTCAATCCATATTTTGTAATAATTTCTATACAAATTTCTCGTGGAAGTTCAATGAGATTCATTTTTTTTTTAGTCAACTAAGAAAGTTTGAAATTTTATTTATATTTTAGTAACACACTTGAAGTCATTCCCAATTTTAAATATTGCCATTTTGGGTATTTGTTTTATATATTCTAGGCTTTTAGTTCCTGAACCTTTATTATTCATGAATTCCAGGAGTCTGATGATTCCTAGGTTGCCTCAGGTTATATTTGTTTCTACACACAACCACTCGAGGTATCAATTGCAAGCTTCAGATTATTCGTGGGATATTTATGAACTGTAAACATAACCTCTGTTATTTTATTTGTATATATATAATATTTATTAACTTATAAAGTACAAGTTTTACAAAAATTTTGTCACCGTGATACAAAAAATTTTAAACACTAATACTAATAAATAAATATGGACACAACGTTAACAATAGATCATTTTAATAATAATAAAAGACTATTAGAGGAGGAAGAGAATTACGATGTAAAGATTCAAATTGGCGCAGAACCAAATATTAAAGAAGTGCATGCGCATTTATCAATCTTATGTGCTCAATGTCAGTTTTATTTGTGAGTTTATCAGTAACTTAAAAAAGTCCGTTTTTATTTGTCGACTTTATCGGCTACTTAATAATATTCCAGAACTTGACTTATTCTCATATTCCATTTTTATCCCACATTTACAAATGTCCCTATATTAATATAAATGGCATCATAGAAAAAATCCAGGTTGCTTGCTTTCTATTATTATGAAATAAACTGACATTTACGGAGTGATAATTGATAAACATAATCACGGAGATATAATGGAAATATTCTGGGGTATCATTTTACAGGGCAAAAATATGATAATATCAACAAAGCTATTGTAGTTGGCAAAAGAGCAATAGTTATGGCTTGACTGGGATGGGAATGGATATAAAGATATGAATATAGTTTCATATTTAATAAATCAGCACTGCGCAGCTTAGTTATGCTAATAATTAAAATTTAATATGTTGTCATTCAGCTAACCTTCCTAGATTTACACCTGATATTTATTTTTATAATAGTAATATAGATTTGATGAATTAATAAAAATTTTATTCACATTAGTATTAATAGATTGAATTGATTAAAATTTATTTTTTATGGCAATTATGTAACATTGGACTTTTTTGTTTACAAGATTTTTTTTTTAAATTTTTAAATAATAATAAATGGATTTAACAATATTAGAAAAATATTTTAATGAAAATGAAAGATTTTTAAATACAAAAAAGAATAGTGATGTAAAAATTAAAGTTGGTGCAAAACCAAATGTTAAAGAAATTCATGCCCATTCATTCATTTTACAAGTTCATTGCCCATTTTTCAGAAATGCTTTAACCAATGCAACAAAAACAAATGGTCATTATATTATTGAAAAATCAAATATTAGTGAATTAATTTTTAAACCTATTCTAAAGTAAGTTTACTGAGTTATATTGCATTTATTTTTTAATTGAATACAATATATATATATATAACAATAATAATTAATTATTTTATCTTATTTTAAAAGATTTTTATATACTTGTAAAATTGAATTAGACAATTTTACTGGAGTTGAGATTGTGGAAATATTAGTTACAGCTCATGAACTTGGTCTTGAGTCACTCTTTGAACACACAATGAAATATTTTATCAGGAAACATGGGGATTATATAGAAAAATTATTTCAGTCAAGTAAATTTGAATCATTGGAAAAACCAATTATATTGGAAATTCTCAAAACAGATGATTTTGTTGTTGAGGATGAAACAATTGTATGGCAACATATTCTTATATGGGGATTGAAAAGACATCCAGAAATCAATAATAGTAATGTTGAAGACTGGTCATTGCAAAACTTTGCAGATTTTGAAAAGACATTAAAAGAATTTATTCCTTTGATTTGATTTCAGGATATTTCTAATGGAAAAATCTTTTACAATATTATTTAGTCCCTGGTAGGCAGAAAACTTTAAATTTATTACCATCAAGAATTCCTCCAAAAATTAACTCAACAATTATTATCAAAAAAAAAAGGTTATTTTACTTTTTGCAAGTTGGATTGATAGGAAGAATCCACCATATAATTTATTTGGAGAAGTTAAAGTTAAATACGAATTTAAACTTTTATATTGTAGTAGTAGAGATGGTTTAAGTGCAGCTATTTTTCATCAAAAATGTGATAATATTAACAAAACTCTTGTGGTTGCCAAAGTACAAAACACTGAGAAAATTGTTGGTGGGTATAATCCACTTAATTGGAATGGAAACCAATATAAAAATACAAATGATAGTTTTATATTTAATATAAGCAATAGAATGGATATCAGTACTGCACAGTTTAGTTATCCTATTCAGAATCAACAAAATGCAATACTTTGTAATCCAAGTTACCTTCCTACTTTTGGTAGTGCTCATGATTTGTGTTTTAATTCAGATAAGGTCATTTACAGTGGACAAAATAGTAGTAGTACTTATAGTAACATCAATTTAGTAGGTGGTAGGATATTTGATGAATTAGAAATTTTTCAAATAATTGATAAAAATTAAAATGATCAAAAACACAAATCAAATTTTTTTTTAACTTTTTTTTATTGGAATTAGGGAAGATTATTATTATTATTTATTTGCTTCATTAAATATTTTTACTTACCTGCCACAATTAGCAACAAGTATATATAAATAAAAACCACCACAAAGTAATATTTTTAGAACCTGTTTTTATACACTAGTATATAGTTTCTTTTGTTGTTTATTATTTTTGATTTCATCATTTTCAATTATTATTTTATTATTTATTGATAATATGTGATTTCTTTACTTTCAATGATATCATTTTCTGGAATTTTTCGAAATTGGTGTAGTATTTTTTTAATGATTTTACCAATATTAACACTACTATTGATTTCATTCTCTGGGTCAGTCAATAATTATCTTTTTAAAAGCCCATCATCAGCTTTAAATCATCAATTGAATATGGTGCAAGTCACTTAGTCGCTGAACTTTTTATTGGCTGTGTAGATCCTATATCCTCTCCAAAAATGGAAATGTAT